TCACGGCTCTATGCACTGCCCTCGCCGAGCCGGCCTGGCTGCACATCCACGGAGGCACCTGTTCCCGCCAGGAGCTGGGGGTCTCAGACGTGCTGGGCTACGTACACCCGGACCTGCTGAAAGGTGAGGGCGCTGCGCTCCTGCAGCCCCTCCGGGGCTGGGGGTCGGTGCTGCGTGGGGAACTGGCTGAAGCAAAGCTTACCTGAGGCCGGCACTTGGTTGAAGGAAGCAGCCCCTGTCCTGCGTGGTGCTCGTGCCCACCAGGTGGCTCTGTTTGGGGTCCAGCCCCTCATTAATAATGTTATTCAGCTAAGCACCTACTCCTCATAGCCATGCTAATCCGGTCTGCTGCTATTTTAGGATTCTACCTGCCTTGTATATGGAGAAGGTAAGGGTGCTAGGTGTCACATTCTGCCATCCCCTCCCAAGGAACCTGTGGGATACAGCGAGCCGCTTTGGAGCATCCTGACTGATGGAGGAAAAAGAAGTTTTAATACAACTAGATTTTAGAAGCTATTTTAGGGTTTTGTGATAGTTGAACTTTTATTGGAGAGGGAGTGTGTGGCATTTTAGGTCATCCAAAGTCAGTGCTTTTGCAAGCAGGAGCCCCGCACCTACAGGAGGGCCTGTCCCAGGGAGCCCCCTAGCTCAGCTTCCCCTTCCTGTCTCCAGTAGTGAGGGTGAAGGCTCTGGTGAGGGCGGGACTGCACCATCTGCTGTTAATCATAAAAATGGTCAATGAACCCCAAACAGTTCTTGGTAAGAATACAGTTTGTCACCCAAGATCTTTTGAACCATTCTTAACGTTTTTCCTGTTCCCTCAAGTGTCATTCTTTGGCTGTGATGCATTCCAGGTGTCTGCTGCTCTGCCCCTCAGAGCCCTTCCTACTGGAATCTGCAACTCCCCGGGATCGTCACTGTGTGACGACTCAGTGCATCACTTCTGTAGGCCTGGGCTGTGAAACTTTAGCCTGTGATTTAATGTTGTCTTTGAGGCTTCTCTTCATGTTTTGCTTCTCTCCTGAATTTTGGAGGCTTTAGGGCAATTTTGTAGAGAACAGGATAGGAACTTGTGGTTTGTTTCTGTATTTCACCTTCATGGTACCCGTGGCCTGGCTGGCTCTTTAAAACTGAAGTTGTCCACCTGTTACGGGTCTTGAAATGAAGCCTTTTCCTTTACACATATGGGATGGCACAGAGGCCTTAAGGATTGGAGTGGGTTGGATGGTTTTCCCCAAAGCATATTCCCCTCCACTTGCCTCTGGGAAGCTCAGCTGCCAGCTTCCCACCCTTCAGCTGAGCCTTTTGCACTGGATCCCACTGTGTTCCAGTGTTTCAGGAGTTCAGTGTCCCATGCAGATTTGGAGAGAGATGAGGCCTCTCTGCAGCTCACTCCTGGGTGGAGGGTTCATAAAAGTCATGTGATGGAGAGGAGGCCATTTGACCCCACATCTTATTGCAGAGACCCAGGAAACAGCGTTCTAGAAGGTGAAGGTGTCTCCCCAATGCTGCCCAGATGGGTGGTGTAGCTGAGACTGTCATACATTTATTGATGCAGATATCAAATGGTTCTCACTTACAGTATTTATCCTTTGTTTTACTTCAGCAGTCATAAAGAGTAGTCTCAGCCAGGTGTGGTGGTGCACGCCTATAGTCCTAGCACTCGGGAGGCTGAGGCAGGCGGTTCGCTGTGAGTTGGAGACCAGCCTGAGCTACATAGTGAGTTCCAGGTCAGTCTCAACTACATAGTGAGACCCTGTCTCAAAAAAACTAAAAAATAAAGAGTAGTCTCATGAGATTTTTGTTTGTTTGTTTGTTTTGGGTTTTTTTTTTTTTGTGGTACCGGGGATCAAACTCAGGACCTTGCACTTGCAAAGGAGGTATGGTGCCACTGAGCTAAATCCCCGGCCCATGAGATTATAATCTGGCGTGCATCTTCGTCAAAGGAATGTTAAAATAAAATTATTGGTGCACTTTCTTCTTTGTTTATGTGTGTGTTTGCCTTTTCTGAGAAAGGACTCAGACCAGATTGCATCTTTTATAAAGCATGTTAACCTTAACCTTTATATTCCATTTGCTATGTGTTTAAATGGTATGTGGGGGATACTGGGGATTGGACCCAGAGCCTTCTCACTGAGCTGTATCCACAGCCCTTTTTTATATTTTCATTTTGAGACAGGGTCTCTAAAATTGTTAAATTGCCCAGGCTGAACTTGTGATCCCCCTGCCTCAGCCTCTTAGAATGCTGGAATAACAGGTGTGTACCACTATACCTGGCTACTGCTTGGCAATCTTAACCCACTTATAGATTCTGTCTGTCTGCCCTGGCTGTCTCCTTGGCCATCACAAGCTGAGGACACTTGGTTCATATTAGTGAGAGAGTTGGCAATGGTCCCTTGTGAGCCGTCATGAGAGCTGAGGAATCAGGAAGTCCCTGTTGCTTCTCTCCCTTCTCTCCAGGCTGTTTTGGTCCTACTGGTCCTTCACGTGTGTGATATATCCTGTGTGAGTATGTGATTCTTGGGGCCAGCACTTGTGACCCTGAAGCCCAGTATATTCCCTGTGTCTGGAGGGAGCAGAGCTGGGGCACAGATGTGCTCATAGACTTTCCTGTCTCTGCAGGTGCAAGGCACCATTCAAGGTGCCCTTCGTTTCAGCTTGTAGGTTCTCCTGAGTAGTGTCCGGGTTTGGTAGGTGCTGCTGTTGGTACGAATCACAGAAATTTCGGCTCAGGAAGGTTGGGTGGTCTTGCTCAGAGACACACAGCCAATCTGGGTGGCTTTGACTCCAAAGTCCACACACTCCTTACCACACCTTACTGCTCTCCATGTTTCCTTTTCTTTTGGTCTGAGCTACCATTTCCCTTTTTATTTTTTGTGCCATACTAAGGGACTGGGGTTGAACCTAGGACCTTCTTACTGAACTATATCCTCAGTGCTTTTCTTTTTTCTTTCTTTCTTTCTTTTTTTTTTTTTTTTTTTTTTTTTTTTCGTTACTGGGGATTGAACTTGGGACCTTGTACTTGCCAGCCAGGCATGGCTCCACTGAGCTACATCCCTGCACCCCCCTCCCCTCACTGAGCTACATCCCTGCCCTCCCTCCCCCATCCTTTATAAAAAAAAATTGGTGGGGGTGGCAGGGATGTAGCTCATTGTCTCCATGCCTGCCTGCCTTCCAAGCATAAGGTCCTGAAGTTCAATCCCTGGTACCAAAAAAATGTTTTTGCAGGGAACAAGGTCTTCCTAAGCCTACTTTATTCCCTACCTTAGTAATTACTACATTGCCTGGGCTGGGCTCAAACATGAGATGCTCCTGCCTCCACCTCCTAGCCTCCTAGCTTTAGCTGAGTTTTTGCCACAAGCTGTGCTTTTTATTCCACAGTGCCTTAGTGGGTGGTCCTGAGGCAGAGCTACTCATCCTTCTGTTGTTGCCCACAGAGCCTTGGAGCTTTAGCAAATGCAGACCAGTTCAGAAGATTCTGCCCTGAATCCTTCCATTCCCCAGAGGGTACCTGCCTCCAGAACTTCAGTGGCCCTGGGAAGAGGAACCCCAGATCCTTTCTGCCTCTCAGGGTGGCCAGTAAAGAACAGCTCTGCCAGCAGCCTCAGAAAGCCTCTTAAGAGGATGAGGAAGTAGGAGGATGAGGAAGTAGGGTGAATCATGATTGACAGTAGCCATGGAAGCCCAAGGGCCTACAGGAAGGGCCCGAGGGTGGTGGCGGATATAGGTCCTGCTGGGCCTGTTCTCAGGCAGGTTGGCTAGCACCATTGTGTATGCAGATGACGAGGCTGGGCATAAGAGGGCCCTGTTAGTGGCTTTTGTCACAGTCCTGTCTGGAAGCCAAAAACATCACCGTAGGGAGAGCCCAGGCAGGTGTGAAAACACACAGAGGGGCTGGGATAGCACTCTCTTGAGAGTGAGTGGTAGGAGGGGCCTGAGGCCCATGTGGTCAGGTGGGGATTAGAGGATGACAGGCAGGTGGACAGGAAGGGCCAGGCTGCAGAACCAACACATCAGGTGACTCACCGGTGACCTTGGGCAGTCAATTCCTCAGATCCTCTTACACAGCAGCTGCCTCCCCTGGTGACCGTGGGGACAGTCAAGCAGTGTTTACCCAAGGAAGCAGGCAGGGTACAACTGCAGGGAGCAGAGCACTGGCTGTCCATACTAAGTGTTCGGGACCAAAGCACTGTTTTGGATTTAAAGTCAGGACCTTGTCCCTTTCACCCACAAATACAGCCATACTGCATGACCTTGGGGACTTGTGTCCTCAGCAGTCCTCTCTAGGGAGCAGATGTCCTTGCCTTCCTGCCCGACTGATGCCTCGCAAGGGAAGTGAGAAGGATGCTGAGATGATGGCCCCAGGAGAGGCTCTGTGCTGAGTGCTCAGCATGTCCTGGATCACAGTCTGTCCTTGGTGTTCTGACACCCCTGATGAAAGTCCGTGGGTGACACGAAGCAGGTTCCTGGGGTATCCAGTAGCATCACCAAAGGGACAGTCACATTTTTTGCTTTTCCACTAAACCTGAGGGCTTATTCACAGCTAGATTCTGGAGAAAGGGAGTTGAAACAAAACTTGGATTTTGTTGTTGCTGTTGTTCGTTGGTACCGGGGATCAGACTCAGTAAATTTGTGCTTGTAAGGTAGGTAGGTGTGGTGCCACTAAGCTAAATCCCTGGCCCTGTTTACTTTTTTGAAACAGGGTCTCACTGGATAGTTCAGGCTGGCGTCGAACTCAACAGCAATCTTCTTGCGTCAGCCTTCCAAGTGTCAGGATTACACTGACCAAAATAAAACTTGTTTGAGTATTGGGTCAAAAGCCCCTTCTTGGTACCACATTGTCACCCTGGTGCAGCAGACCCTCATTCTGGCTTTGACAGGTGCCTCCTCTGCCTAATACTGGCAGGAAGTCTCAGTGTAAGAAGGAAAGGTGCAGCCAGGTGTGGAGGTACACCCCTGTAATCCTGGTACCTGGGAGGCTGGGGCAGGAGGATCACTGCGAGCCCAAGTCCAGCCTGGGCAACATAGCAAGACCCTGTCTCAAAAAAATAAAGCCAAAGAAAAGAAAAGGTGCGCCAGGGGTGACTGTGGCTCAGGTCCAACAGCTGCTTGCTAGTGGGGCGGTGACAATTCCGGTGGCCTCCTTTTCCTGGGCAGTGTCAGTGGGTCCTCCCCATATACCTGTGGCAGCTGAGGCCAGTGTTACTGCTTTCATTGATCCATAAGGAGGAGCAGGCTGAGGATAGGCAGGTGACCCACTCAGGGTAACCTGAAGCCTCTGTAGCCCTAGGTGCCGGTGCCAGCTCCAGAGACTGTCTCATGTCCCAGCCACTTCCCAGGCTGGACTCTGAGGCAATGGTGCCTGGAGGCCTAAACACCAAAGCTCAGGAAGTCCCTGCATAAGAACTTCCTCTCACTAAATGACCCAAACCTCCTTTGCCTTTTTTGTTTTGTTTGGAGATTTCATGTTTCCAGCTGCTTGTCAGCAAGCTCAGCAGCTGCCGCTCTTTGGAAGGTTCTGCCACTTTTCGTGTTAGTGTCTGACCCTGTGTACACAGGTACCTCCTTAAGACTTGATTGATTATCTCTGTTGGGAAGGAGTAGCCACTGATACCTGGTGATTCTGAGCGGCACAGAGCAGGGCTGGGTGTCACTGTGTGACCTGCAGGGTGTCACTTAACCTCCTAGAGCCTCTGAATCTGAATCCCTGGAGCGGTGGCATGGATCAGCACTTGACTGGTCTGTGCAGGGGCTGCTCCTGCAGGGGTTGCTCCTGCAGGGGTTTGCAAGGCTCTGCCATAGATATTTGCCCTTGGAGCAGGGAGCAATGTCCTCTGTGAAGTTAAAGCTTTCCATCAGGTGCATGGATTTTTTTTTTTCTCCTTTGAGACAGGGTCTTGCTATATAGTTCAGATTGGTCTTGCTCGCTATGTAGCCCAGGCTGATCTTCAACTTCCACTGATCCAGCTGCCTCAGCCTCCCAAGTGCTGAGAGCCAAATGGAGGCACACGAGCCTTTGGGCCCAGCCAGCAGCTCCCTGGAGAATTTGTGGGTTGTATTGTTTTGTTTGGGGATTTTTGTTTGTTTGTTTTTGGTGGCATGGGGAATTGAACCCAGGAACCCAGGGCCTTCTCACTGTGCTACATCCCTAGCCTGTTTTAATTTTTTTAAATTTAGGAACATGTTCTACCCCAGAGCCTAGCCCCAGCATCTTCATTAAATGCCTTCTTGTAGTTACACATTTCTCTAAACTGCTGCAACGTTTTTTCTTTCCTCAGTTATATTTATTTATTTATCTATTTATCTATCTATTTATTTATTTATTGACACCGGGGATCGAACTCGGGACCTTGTGCTTGTGAGGCAGGCATTGGAACCTCAGCCCTTAGTTTTATTTGTTTTTACCGTGGTGAAATATACTGACATAAAATTTACCATGTTAAGCAGTATGGTGGTGCACACCTGTAATCCCAGGACTCAGGAGGCTGAGGCAGGCTGATTGCCACACGTTTGAGGCCAGCCTGGGCTACATAGTGAGTTTAAGGCCTGCCTAAACTAGGTGGCAATATCCTATGTCAAAAAACTTTAAAAGTGCCATATTGTACCCAGCTAGGAGCATTAAGTATTTTCACATTGTTGTACAACCATCACTGATGTCCAATTCCAGAATTTTTCCATCCCAAAATGAAGCTCTAACAAATGGTAATAACACCCTGGCTCTCCTCTTTCCCAGACCTGGCAGCTGCCATTCCACTTTCTAGATCTGTCTCTGTGAGTCCTCTAGGTATCTGATAAGCGTGTGGTCAGATAGCATCTGTCCTTCTGTGTTTGGCCTCTTTTATTTAGTGTAGTGTCACCTTCTTTGGGGAGTTGGAAAGGGAACGGATATGTTGAGGAAATGCAGAATGGACATTAAGGCCTTTGGCCTTTGCTGGTCTGGGAATCTCAGCTCAGAAGTCAGTGGGATTTCCCTGCCTGCTATGAGCATTCTTTGGCAGAATGGGTTAATATGCCAGATTGATTGATGGTCATGGTCTTTGAAGATGGCTGGGAGAGCTACAGTGGCATGGAACCCTTGTACACAGACTAGTCGAAAGAGGAGAACAGGACATGGAGGGAACAGTGATTTCGGAGTCGGAGTCTTCTCTGCCACCCCTCTGCAGACCACTGGGGCCTCCCTGCGCTGCCCAGGACAGTGGTGGAGAGGCTGGAGCACAGGCTGTTTTCTGAAGCCCTGAGCTTTGGTTGTCCCTCTTTCTCCCAGATTTCTGCATGAACCCACAGACAGTGCTGCTCCTACGGGTCATTGCTGCCTTCTGCTTCCTGGGCATCCTGTGTAGTCTCTCCGCATTCCTCCTGGATGTCTTTGGACCTAAGCACCCAGCCCTGAAGATCACCCGCCGCTATGCCTTTGCCCACATCCTCACCGGTAAGGCCCTACCTGCTTGTGTGGGAAAGAAACTGCTGCGTGGTGGGGATACCATGGGGTCTGGCGGTATGGGGCACTTCTGTGAGCACACACATGCCAGATGCTTGTGTGACATGTCCAGCCCTTCACAGTGCATTGGGCACATTTGCAGTTTGCCTCGGTCATTTGCAGATGCCCTTCACAGGCTCAAGGTCCTGCTGAGCCCAGCTGCAGAGAGGGTTGAAATGTTGTTCAATTCTGCCAGGAATTTCACAGCTCTCCTGAAGTGGCTTTGAAGCCCCTGGAGCTCAGTCTGGACTGAGCAAGGAAGGAAGCAGGCTGCTTCTTGGAGTGCGTGGTCGGGTTGCTTCCTCTCCCCCTCATACCAGCCTCTATGCTTGTGCATGGCTGCTTCTTCCCCTATGATGAAGCTGGTGTGTCAGTTTGACTAGTGGTGCTGGCTACCTCCAGCTCCCAAACTGCTCGACTATGTCTATTCCTTAGCATACCTAGCAACATCCAGTGCCCTTAATGTAGCACTTGCCCTTTTTTATTATGGTACTGAGGATTGAATTTAGAGCCTTTGTACTGAGCTACAACCCCAGCCCTTTTTTTATTTTATATTTTGAGACAGAGTTTCTACTAAGTTGCTTAATTACCCAGGCTGGGGTTAAACTTGCAGTCCTCCTGCCTTAGCCTCCCAGGGTGCTGGGATTACAGACATGCACCACCATGATTTGATCCCATTACAAATCCTTAGGACAGAGAAAACCTGTCTGTGTCAGAGGAGGCCGGGCAGCTGTGTCGTGTCCCCCACACACATAGACAGAGAACCCCTTGGCCAGGTGAGCACCTCCTTGCAGGGACTGGGGCCAGGCAGGTTCTCTGAGAACTGAATGAGAGCCTGATTGGTTCTTCAAGCATCCTGGCTGCAGGGTGCCTGCTAATCCCCTGTGTGCTGTCCCTTTGTCACCTAGTCTTGCAGTGTGCCACCGTCATCGGCTTTTCTTACTGGGCTTCTGAACTCATCCTGGCCCAGCAGCAGCAGCATAAGAAGTACCATGGGTCCCAGGTCTATGTCACCTTTGCCGTCAGCTTCTACCTGGTAGCAGGCGCCGGTGGAGCCTCCATCCTGGCCACCGCAGCCAACCTCCTGCGCCACTACCCCACAGAGGAGGAGGAGCAGGCATTGGAGCTGCTGTCAGAGATGGAGGAAAATGAACCCTACCCAGCCGAGTATGAGGTCATCAACCAGTTCCAGCCTCCCCCTGCCTACACGCCCTAGTGGAAGCCAGGGCTTCCTTTGGCAGCCCCTCTCTCACCCAGAGGAGCGGCTTGCCCCTGCAGTCCTCACTGGTAGGACCCAATCATCTTCATCAAACCCTCCCCAGGAGAGACTCTGCCTTAGGGTTGTCCCTGCGTCCCTGTACCAGAAGCTGGGATTCAGTGATTTTACATAAAGCTCTCTTTCCCCAACCCACTACCCACTGCTCCCTTCTGGCTCACTAGTCACTACCAACCAGGGATGGGACCCAGACTTTGCTTGGGGTGCTGCCGAAAGTGGACAGTCCCAGAAAGAAGTGTTGCCAGGTTGGCGAGTGTCCCACAGCTGTGGCCCACGCCCACACCCTCCTCCCCTCTCTGAGTGTCCCGGTCCCAGGCTGCCCACTCTGGGGACTCTCTGCACTTTAGTCTTCGGCCTTCTCCTGACATGTGTTCTGGTTTGATGGGGAGCACAGCCCTGCCCTGGCTCACGTGGCTGGTGCCAGGCAAGGAAAGTGGAGCTGACAGGAGACCGAGGCCTCCCGGTGCCTACATCAGATCAGCGTGAAGGGGATTCAGTCTCCCAGCCCCTTTGCCTTTTAAAATGTGAATGGTTTTAAAAAGGAAAAACAACCAAACAACAGCTAGCATATTCTCTTTTTAAAATAACCTGTTGTTGTTTTTTCAGAAATGTATCCCATCCCTTGAGCTCTGCAATATTTGGGACCACAGTTCCTTCTGAGCCCATGGTCCCCTCCTCCTAGTCTCCCCATGCAGAACACAGCGTCTCTCCCTCAGCTCCTTCCCATCGGTCCCTACAGCTCCCTGGGGCCTCCCTGTGGAATTGGAGCCTTGTGGTCCCCAGGGGCTGAGGGCTGAACTGTGGCCTGGCTGGCCGGCCAGCGTGGTGCTCCTCAGGACTGTGGCTCTGAGATGTAGCCTGGCCTCAGCTCAGGAACCGGGGCCACAGCAGGGCAGGACCCTCCCCTGTCCACTGGGAACTCCAGCCAGCGGGATCCCCGTGTTGGGATCATACTAGCAGGCCCAGCTGTTCCTAGACTGCACCTTGGGGCTACAGCCTGCTGCATGTCTCTCTCCCCTTCTTGAATGTCCTCTGGACTGTCAGCGTGCTCCTGGCTCCTTCTTGCCTGGCTGTTGCTCTCATTACCCCATTTACTCTGGTTCTGGCTGAATTTTCTGCCCCAGGACCTGGGGCATAAAGTAGGTGAAACTTGAGAGACCTTCAGTGTGGATCCTGAGGGCCAAGCTGCCCTGTAGACAAAGCTTCTTTAGAGTTTGTGCCCAGTGTTGAGCTGAGGAGGCTGATTTCAGTCCCCTCCCACCTGCAAAAGGACAGGCACTTTCAGCAGGAACAGAGAACAGACATCACCACTGAGCTGTGGCTAGAAGGGGAGTGTGGTATCCTCGTCTGCCTTGGGCTGAGTTGACCAGGGATGTCTGGACAGATGCCTCTGTGGAGACCACGTCTGCATGTGAGTGAGTGGCTGCCTGGAGTTCACTGCTTGATGCCAAAGTGTACCCTGTCGTGACCCCCACTCTTCCAGACCCTTCTCTTAGGAAAGGTTGCCAGGTGATACTTTAGCACAAAGCCAAGGAGCCAGATGACATCTTTCTGTAAAGTTCTGAGTCCGTCATTAATACCCCGGATGTCTGAGCAGGTACCCAACACGCATGCCAAAGGGAATGGTAATTGGTGAGGACCTGCACATGCCCCTATGGACCGTGCCACGTGACTTGGAACCCTCTTTTTAGGTTCCCACGCCTCTTGCCTTTCTTTCTCTCTCCTTGTGCCATCCTGACATTGATAGTTTGTCATATAAATTTCCCTGGTTGTGTTTTTCTTTTCTAGGAAAAAAAAAAACCTAAAAAGCAAAACAATGAAAAACCTGAAACTACAAACAAGAATGTCAATGGCTGCCTGTCATTTTTCTGTCACAATTTTCCCAGTTTTGGTTTGTTCCTTTCCTCTCAGAGAAGCGGATGTCTATGAGGCTGCTATTGAAAACAGTCAGAAGGGATTACCGCACAGAATGCCTCACAGAGATATTTTCACCTCCTGGAGCCTCCTCATCCTGGTGACTTCCACACAGGAAGTTTCCAGGCCAGACAGGGAGAAATGAGATGGCTCCGCCCAAGACCTCAGTGTCAAACCTTGTATCACCTGGCTAGCTGCAGAAGAGATAGCCTGTGAACTCCAGCCCCTATGGGGAGGCCAGAGACTTGCAGAAGAATACCCATTTTTGAAACCATGGGAAATGGTCCTGGGGGAGGCCTGAGAGAAGTGGTTCTGGGAGCCTGGTCCTGGGCAGTGCTGGCTTTCCATGGGTGCCCTAGATCACCATTCATGTGGCCCAGTTGCCAGGCCCCAAGTATACACCACAAAGCTTTGGGCTCCTTTGGGGGAATAGCCCATTTAGGTGGGTTTTTTTACATTTCTGAGAGAGGACACATCTTTCTCAGGATCTCAGAAAGTGTTCTCAACCTTTCTTTAGATGTCTCTGAAGGGGCCCTTGGGTTAGGTACAAAGCACCATGGCCTTGTGAAAGAAGAGAACTGGTGACTGGCAGGACACTGTAGGATTTTATATCCTTGGTTCCAGAGATGTCCACCTCTGTAGGAAGGCAGATGAACTGTCCCTGGACACCCAAGAACCTGAGGGACTAGCAAAGACTTCTGGGAAGAGGTGGCTGGAGCTTGGCTTAATGTGGGAAAGAATCTGGGGAGGGGGCATTCCCACCAAGGGAGTGGCACACTGGTGGCCAGGATATAGCGAGAGAAGAGGTAACAGCCATCTGATGCACTAAAGCAGAGGGACCCCTGGGGGCATTGAGAAGGGAAGGGGACCAGCTTTCTTTACTGTGTCAGTGGGGGTGGTGTTTGCACTCAGTGAAGGCATCTGAGGACAGGGAAGTGGGGGACACATGAAGTATGGTGGAAGAACCTGAGACTGGTAGAAGGGGAAGAGAGCAGTTGCAGCCAGGTGCTTCTGTAGGGGCTGGGACAGCGCTGTCCCTGGTGATACATCGCATGACGTTTGGAAGGAGGTGGAGGTATGTAAAGGGCAGTAAGAGGGAGACATTGGGACCCAGGAGTGGGCTGTTGTCCTTGGGGAAAGCCAGGTCTCCCTGGATGACCAGAGCATCTTCAGCTGACATTTTACCCATAGTGATTCACCCTTTAGGCCACTACATTAAGGGGATGCAAAGGAGCCAATAAACTATGGGCCTTATTTTTCAAATAGCTTTCAGTCTTTCCTCTTCCTGTGCATTTTTTGGTGGGATTGGAGGGTGCATGAGAGAAAATGTCTCCTTTGGGATGGGCCCGCCCAAAGTGAAAGCTGTTAGGGACAGTGACTTGGGAATCAAGATGTCAGTTCCTCAGTGCAGGATCTGAAGAAAGGACAGTTTCATCAGGACAGATTTTACTGGTCCCCAAGCTGAAGGACTGTGGTGGACCGGCCTGGCCATTCAAGCAGGCAACGTGGTGGGGGTGGTGTGGGGATGGAGGACTCGGCCCAGCTGTGTTCAAGGGGTTAGGGAATGAAGGAACTTTCAGAGATACCTATGCATGCATCCTGTTTTAGGGCTTCTGGGGATCTGGGAGAATAACACTGCAGTGCAGAAGCTACACCCCTGTTTGGAAGGTTCCTGTCCTTGTCCTTACAGAAAATGTCAAGTAGGACTGGGAATTTAGTTCAGTGGTTCCACCGCCTGCCTCACAAGCACAAGGACCCAAGTTTGATCCCCGGTACAATAAAAAAAAAAAAAAAAAAAAAAAAAAAAAAAGGCCTTATAAAGTGCCATCTCTTTGTGGGTGGGTAGACCATGTAGCCTGGTGTCCCCTGTTCCACCTCTGTCTTGGGGGTCTCTCACCTGAATTCATAATGGCCCCACTACTGAAGGAGAACTGGGATAATGGATTGGTGGATGGGGTTTGTTTTATTTAGTTAATTTTTGGTGGTGCTGGGGATTGAACTCAGGACCTTGCACTTGTGAGGCAGGTGGCAGCACCACTGAGCTAAATCCCTGGCCCTGGGGTTCGTTTTAATAAGAGGATTTGTCCCTTATATTTTCCGACCTCTTTGCCTCATAATCTTTGGGGGAAGGGAAATTGTATGCCAATTTTCGACAGGCCTAAGTCATTCTCATTTTTATGTCCACTGGACCCTTGTTTATGTGCTCACAGGATTTTGCTTTTCTCTGCAGTACTCATTCACCGTATATGGTGGTCCTTTGGGAGGATGCAGAGGGAATACATTCTGTCTCTGTCCTCTAGGCTTTCCATGCCAGCTTCCAGGAAGGGAAACCTGGTAATGCCCAAATCTGGCAGTCAAAGAAGCTTCCTGGGCCCTGAAGAATGGGTGCACTTGGTGAGAGTGACAGGATTGATGGGCCAGTAGGAAGGACAGGTGTGGCTTTGGGGAGCACTGAGCTGGTGCCTATGCAGTAGTGACATGCACTGGGAAGGCACGGCAAGAGCTAGGTGGCTGAGGGCCTGGAATACCGAGGTTTGTGTCAGGACACAGCCATGAGACCTAGAGCTTCAGCTCTTTTAAGTAAATGGAACTGATTGGTTTCCATAACTGGAAAGTTAAGGGTAATCCCAAGGGATTGGCAAGGAGTTAGGTGGCTGAGGGCCTGGAATACCGAGGTTTGTGTCAGGACAGCCATGAGACCTAGAGCTTCAGCTCTTCTAAGTAAATGGAACTGATTGGTTTCCATAACTGGAAAGTTAAGGGTAATCCCAAGGGATTGGCAGAGTCCAGGGCCTCAAATGAGCCAGAGACCTGATTCCTCCTCATCTTTTTCACTCTGTTGCCCTGCTCAGGCTGCCCACTCCCAGGGGAGAACATGGCCACCACTGGCCCCAGGCTCCCACTGACCTTATTCAAGGTATCAGGATGACTTTGCCCAGCTTAGATTGTGCCCATTTCCCTTGACGCTGGGCCAGGTCTTAAGAGTCCCGATCTGTGGCCCAGGTGAGGGTAGTAATGTTGGATCTTGGATTCATGTGGTGTTGAGCACAAGAGCCTGGCCTGCCCCAATCAGAGAGCTTGCTGCATAGCCCCCTCCACCCTCCACTTACTGTGATACCAAGAGGTGAGGCCACTGATCAACTCTACTGCCTTGTTTCTTTTTGCAGTGCTGGGGATTGAACACAGGGCCTTGCACAAGCTAGCCAGGCACTCTCAC